TATTCAAGTGAGAGCTTATGCTTTATTAATGAAACTGAGCTTCTTGTGAAATGAAAGGAGGCCATAATGGGACACTGTTCATTACCTCACGCTGAATAGATGGGAGCCATAAACTTCATCAGGAGATAAGGATTGTGCTTTCATGAGTTTTTGATGCGTGATGGGAATCTTCGCTTCTGAGTGTCTGAGTGTGTGTGTGTGTGCATGTAGTTTTATAAAAGCTTTGTTTGTATTGATCAGCTCCTTTAGTAAAGAAAAAAAAACAACAACAAACCCCCCTCGCCCCCCGATGAGGACTCACGAGGGATGTTTAAATTCTTAAGGCTGCACTAATCGCTGTTTTTGCATCGATAATGGATCAGATGATTATGCCTAATGTGGAAGCAGCCCACTGAGAATTACTGCTCATATCAGCTGCAGCGTCTCGTCTCCAGCCTCAGTACCAGGCTGCTGCAATTCTGATAACACGGCTCCAGGCTAGGTTAAACGATCACAAAAAACATCACCAAAAAACTCGTATTATTCCTTTTTTTTACCACATTGCTGATGTTGGAAATATTTGTCATTTTGTTGTGATACGGAATTCTGCAATTGGCCCACGGATGCAGATGGCACAAGGGGAGGTGGGGTGGTTGGCTGGTCGTACTAGGGTACCCCTTTACGTAGTGACCGTAGTGATCCGTTACACCAACTGCCCCTATAAAAGACAAAACAACAAAACAAACATTGCCAGGAAAACACAGGAATAATGTTCAGTTTATGTCTTACAGCTAATGGTGCTAGATAGATAAATGGATGGATTGATGGATGGATGAATTATAATGCAAATGAAATGCTTTTATCAGCTCTTCTTATCTATGTGGTCCAATCTATGCCAAGGCAAACTGAGCTCTAACCTGCTGGTACAGTAAGGACGGGCACGAGGTACCAAATGAAGTGGAAGATAAATCTTTAAATCTTTTATGCAGGAGCAATTAGACCTGGAGTTTGCAAGTGATTCAGTAACTAGAGGATTGGAGTCACCTTAAGTATCGTTAAAAATTCATGTTGTCATTTTAAGTCTTAGAATATCAGTTTACATACGCAGCCAAATAGATACGACTGCTTTAGACGACACTGCTCACATACAGTGATCCCAGACGTAACTTATGTCTGGCTTGGTTGTCAGGCAAAACTTTTGTTCGTAGTCCATTTCCAGGCAGAATCATTTTCGAGCACAAAAGAAAACATGTTAGCTGTGGAAGAGGTGGTGATGATGGTCCTGTTTAGAAGTCCAAACAAGAACAAGAAGAATCTTTCTGGTTCCACCATTTATGTTGTTCTGACATTTTCTACTTCTTTAATGGGCACACACAGGCTGTACAGCGCAACACTTCCCCCTTTTCAAATGGAAAATTGGTAATTTCTTTTCCAGGTTTTCCAGGATTCTCAGAAACCCTGTTAATTCCCCTTTTCACTGACTCACATGGGATGAACACGTGAGGAACCACTCAGTGAACAGACACTTGGTCCTCACCATCACTATGTTATTACAGCTCTTTTTTTTTATTGTTGTCTAAAATTCCTAAAGAATCAATGACTGATTCAAGACAAATTCTCTGTCATTTTGTTTCTGCAGCCATGAATTTTAATCTCCTCTCTCCCTTCAGACATGTTCCACAAATTGAATCTGTGGTTTAGGGCGGTGAAAAAAAAACAGAGATTGAAAAATGACTTCTCTATCGTAGCCTGACGTTTGTTTCTGTGTATTTGTGTAACATAAAGATGGAAGGGCAGACAAGAGGACAGGAAGGTGGAGCCCGTCAACCTCAGGATTTCACTGAGTTTCATCAGAGTTTCAACACAGACCGGCCATCGGACACACACACCATCGCCAGGGTTCGTGACTCCATCCCACTTTGGAGATAACAGAGCCGACGGTTTCAAAGCTTCAGGGTTTAACATGGTGATCACATTTCACTGAAAACTCCTCTTACAACTCTGGAATCTGATTGGAGGAGCCCCCTTGTGCTTTTTGGCACAAGAGAAAATGGAGTCTGGAGGAAGCCTTAAAAGATCCTTTTTCATCATTATACTTTTTTTCTTCTATGTCATATCCCATTTAATCAAATGAGGGAAATGATATCATTGGAAACTCTTCTGCTAGATGGCACTAGAGCATATTGCTCACTTAGGGGAGGGCTGCAAATGGATGGAAATGTATTATTAATGAGTCAAATGTGAGACCCGGGCTGCAGCAGCAGTGGAAGGGTATATCGTTATCAGCAGGGGGCGAAGGATGAGTCATGTTAATTATTGGCCGTCCCTGGGGTTCGCTGATGAAACCCCCCCCAATGGTGCAACCTGATGCTTAATGTGCAGAACTGGTCAGAGAAACTATCACAACGAGTCGATTCTTCAAACGTTAGAAACATGAACCATTTTAGAATAAAACAAACACTGCTTTTAGGTTTATTTTCTGTCTTTAAATTAGGACATTCATCTTCTCTGAAGCAGATGAACCACCAAACTCCAAAAACCCTAGGAGGTTCCTTCATAACCAATCTATTCTTCTTTGCTACCGGCACCTTGCACCTCAGTTCTTTTTTAAACTGTTTGAATTTTTTTGATGACTTTTACAGCAAACTTTTACTCGTCTGGCAAAAGATCCACAACTCAAATTCACGTCGCACACATTTATGAACTTTACATGAACTCCCACTCTTCCTCGGAGGTGGGAGAAGAGAGGACTGTAGTTGTAGAGGCGGGGGGGGGGGGGGGGGTGCCGCTGGAGGTGACGCTGGGTGGTGACCAGGTTCGACAGAAATGAGAGGGTTAGAAAGAACAACAGTAATGTCCAAATCTGTCAGTTCACAACTTCAACTTCACCAGCTTCAGGATTATAGTATTTTCCTGACTATAAGTCGCTCCAGAGTATAAGTCTCACAAGCAGCTACAGTGCCATCTAGTGGCTGTCAGTGTGAAAATAACAGACATATGAAATTATATATTTTAATATGTAAGTCGCACCTGAGTGCCTAAGTCGCAAACCCAGCCAAAGGATGAAAAAAAGCGACTTATAGTTTGAAAAAATAGTAGTCCAAAATGACTATTTTTTTTGTTGTTCAACAAAGTGTTAACTGACGCTAAACTGTAATTGTTTCTTAATGGTGAAATAGTGTATTATCCTTGACTGTTTATTTGTCCCTCCCAGGTCCCCATCCCCACAGAGTCAGTCCTGAGTGGTCAGTCAATATCAGCCTTATCAAATGAAATACAAGGCCATTTCTCTGTACGTGTGGACGACAGAGAGTTAACACAGGCAGTCTGACATCACTCCTGGACACAGCTAATGGTGCGAGTTATTGATTGAATGTGATATAATTTGTCAATCCAGGCTTTGTCCAGCTGCAGCACCGTGTTGCTGCTCCACAGGGTCATGTCCGGCAATTTGGTCTTTGAAAATGTCTAAAGAATATTCTCCAAAAAATTGGAGATCTGGTTACCAATTAGAGTTCAATTAATTTTTTTCTGATACAAATTTCAAGAAACAAAGAGAGAACACATGAAAAGCCATTGGAACTGATTTAATCTTGTTTCAAATGTCTTTATTTCTTGAGAAGCTCATCATTTTTATAATAAATGAGCCATGATTCAGGTTTCTGATTCACTAAGTAGCTGCTCTTTTTGTTTCAAGTCCAACTAATCCATTAGTCGAACCGAAAATCAGTGCTGGGCAACTGACTTGAAAATCTAATTATGCATTGACAAAAAGAATCATTAGAGCCTGCAAAGAAAAACTGAAAACGAATCAGTAGCGGTGTTAAAGGTGGAGTTGTTTGTCCTGTGAAAAAATGTCCCTTTTAACAAACAAACAAACAAAAAATCCTAGGTAGTGTTTTTTGAGTGGAAGGTTTGTCTTTGTAACCCGCTTCACAGTTCACTCTGGGTGATTTCCAAAGGCTGGTATTAACCAGGGCAAAAAAGCATAAAATGCCAGAAATTAAACATAGTAAACATGTTGAAAGAGGCTAGAATATTACTTTGCCAATAGTTTGTTTGAGTTACTGCTGCTTCCACACTGACCTAGTTGGGTTTTATGGTTTGATTTTTTTTAATGCTGTCGTTTGACTTCACTTGTTATGTCTGGACTTTTAAAGTATTCGGTTGCACATTAACACAAACAAATCTTTGACGTCTTCTCTGATTTTCACCTGTCGTTAAATCCTTTCATTAAAATCTGAGCTCCACTAACATCCGTTCTCCAGAACGATAATAAAGTAATTAGGAACTCACTGTACTTTAGAATGTACTATAATTGTAGTATAAGTGAACAAAGCTGGGCCTTTCATAACTTTCGGACCAGGTCAAAAACCTTTATGGGCAGGAACTGGAAACTAGTAAAAAGAAAACAAAAAACAACGCAAAAAAGAGCTTCACATCTGAAAACAGACAAATGATTAATCTGTCCAAATATATGGATCAGGCAAAATTTAGACCAATATTCTCTGGTATTTGTAATTACACTGATGCATTAAAAATAATCTGTTTAATTAAAAAATGTAATTAATGTGATTAATTGGTTCATTTTGACAGCCCAGAAAAAACCCTAACAAACAAAAAAACAAACCCAGGTCCCAGCAGCTGCTGTGATTGTGTCAATAAGGTATTGATTGCTGTGGTTGTGCTCACTTTTCCATGGATCAACACAATAATTTATATAACTCAGTGGAGTCAGACTGGGCTTCGGCTTCCACCTCGTAAATTCCATTCACATTTTCTTGTTTTCCTTGTATTGTCACGCTCTCCTCCTCTCAGTCGTTATAGACATCAGAGTCTATCATCGTCTCCCTGCTCATAATCCCCCCTCACTCCCTCTGCCTCTTCTTCCATCGTCCCCACGGAGCACAGAGGCACTTTACCCCTCCACCACCACCACCTCCTTCTCCTTCCCTCACCGTCTCTCATCCTCTGTCTCACATCTCCTCTTTCTGTTGTCTCACAGAGTGCACCAGGCATTGGGGCCGTCCCTGGAGTGACCTTGAAGGGAGGGGGGGTGGTGGGGTGGTAATGAGCTCCTGATCACCAGTCAGGAAACCCGACATTCGACAACTGCCTCTCAACAACCACCCTCCTCCCTCTACCCCACGTAAAAAAAACCCCACCACTACACGGCCATCTCATGCTCAGCCCACAAAGAGAACTGGTATTGAAGAGGCAGGGCAGCGGGGCAGAGGTGCAGATGAAAAGAGTCTAGAGAAACAACTACTTCAGCTCTGATATACAACTACCAGACCTCCAAAATAAAAGTAAGTGGATTTTCTTTTCTACTGCAGCTTACACTCACTCACTGCCTGGTCCCTAATGTGGCACAGGCAGGTCGTGATTATCAACGGGCCGCTCTGAAACTTTGGACTTTGTTGAGCTGTGTTCACAGGCAGAAAGATGAATGGATAGAGAACAGCTGGTGGGATTTATCTGATTAAAAGCACACAATAATGAAACTTAGAGTAAATAAATAATGTAGAAAAAAACATTGGTGTTTTGCATTTGTGAGGCTGTTTTTGCCTGTTGGTGAAATACGAAACATTAACTTGTGTTTTCATGGTCCTAATTGTCTTTGTTGCACTTTCCCCAATTTGGGCAGATGTGGCCCTGGGGCTGTTGATTGCAGATATTAAAATGTTGAGGCTGAGTAGCAGAGAATTATTGCTGCAGATTGAGAAGTGGCTTATAGACATATTGGGTAAACAGTAAAAAAGACCCTAAAAATCCCATAATTGAGCTCTGTGGTCTGTGGCATTAAATCTTTGTTTTCTCAGCGATTAGACTTCAAACACCCATATGCTTTGTTTGTTATCGCGATAAACCAAATTTATGCAAGCTCCGATTAGTGTTTGCGTGCTAGATGAAGTGGGACAACCTTTTTTTTCCCCAGGATGGAGTAATTTGGGTCAGGCCTGACTGGAATGACAAACCCCAAAGCGGCCGTATTGTATCGGCTCTACGTGGTCCAGCAAGGCAGACCTTCTCATTGGTTGCCATGGCTTTTCCTTCAGCCCTGGTATAGCAACACCAGTCAATCAGACCTAACAGTCTTCCTCTCTTCTCACTGTCTCTGTGTTGTGGACATTCCTGCGTTGGACAAAAGCTTCCTCCGGCTCATTCTTGCCTGGAAATGAGGTGTCTGCTTTATTTCTTTAGAATCAACACATGGTGTGGTCCTAATGAAAGAGCCTGGGGGAGATTAAACATGAGAAGGAGATGAGCTTGAGTGACAAAAAAAACCCAGCTTAAGTTAGAAAAAAAAAGTCAGGACACAGTGTGGTTTAGCCAGGATGAAAACTGATCTCATAACACTGGACATTCTTTTATCCCAACACTCCAGACCTTGGCATTTCTCTTCTGTGGTGGTATCCACGATGGAGGCCTTGAAGAAATATTTTGCACATTCTGCCCTTTTCTCTTGTTAAACAGTTGCCCCACAGATTTCACCACGTGATCCCCCGGCCTATATGTCAAAGACCGAGGACAAAGCCACTTCATTTCCCTCTGTGTTTTCACAAACTTTCACTTTGACCATGAATGAAGCTGGAGAAATAAGGCATAGAATTGCGCTGTTTGGGGCCCGTGAAGTCCACGCTCCAGGGGGGAGGAAAGCAGGGTGAATGGAGCCAATTCTCATGTATAGGGCACAAGCAAGTGGAGGCTAAAAAGGAAGGAAGGGGGATGAGGACGTACACAAAGATCTTCACACTGAGAGGCTAGGTTCATTCTTGTGTGGTAGGCTCTGACCCCTGCCCGCATGTGGGATACACAAAATGAGCCCCGATGGTGTCCAGAGGGCCTCCACAGGAGAAAAGCAGGAGAAAAGAAGAGAAAAGAAGAAAAGAGAAGGCAAGGATGCCAGAAGAGAGGCCTGTCAAGGCAACATCCTCCTGAACAACCACTTCCACTTAAACAGCATCCACAATGAAAAGCACAGACATCATTCTTGGTTTGACCGCTCACATGTAGTTTTTAGTAGTAGCTTGATCCGATAGTCAGGATCAGTATCGTAAGTAGGATCGAACATTGTACATCTCATCCTTGTACATTGAAGCTACATTTCTGCCACCTACTGGGCTAGAATATGTGCATAAGTGTTATCAGTTTGCCAGGGATTTAATAACTAATAAAGTTTTTCCAAAACTTTGCTACAGACACTATTAATGGATTCAACCATTGACATCCAAAGAGAGAAGATGGAAGTCCTGAGGATATTATGTCTGGAAACTGAAAAAAACTAAAAAGGACAGTCAGTGTCCTCACTACCTAAACACTTGGTCTAAATGTTGTATATACAATTAGGATTGCTCACTGCACCTTGCAGCTTGGCAAAAAAACATTTTCATTCAATGCTGTTGTGTTAAATAGCCAAGTGTGGAAATGCATAGATGTCAAGGAGGTATTTTTATTACAGGCTGCAGTCAAACATAAAAGCTGCTGATGAGAGAAAGTCCTTCTATTGCGGCGCTGGTCTCCAAGGTGCAAGTGCACGTTGACTGCTAATGCTTTTTGTAAGTGATTTCTAATTAAGCCGAGGGCCGGTTGTGTTGTCCTTTTTTTCGATCACCATCCAGTTTCGCACCATTACTCCGCAAAAGGTGTTGATTATTTCTTCCATCGCCCTGAAATATCTAACAAATTTACTCGTTTTCCTGTGCGGAAAAACCAATACATGAGTTCGGCTGTTGACTTGATCTGATGTTTGATCCTCAGGGAACTAATGATAACCTCAGGCTGTCCTGCTCTCATCAGTCAGCTCATTATTGTCCCTCTTGGTCACATGGCTGCGACACATGTACACAACCGTGCCCCCCCTGGGCCTGATGCTGGTGGTGCATGCTGTAATGTATGTAGGTGACCAGAAGGCAAAGGTCAGATGGCAGTAAACACTCACCAAAGCTGGAATTAATTAGACGTGTTTAACTCAAGTCTTAATTTAATTTCTTTTTATATTATAACCTGATTGCCAGTAAAGATTGTTAATATGTTTTTCGTGATGTTTTACTTCCCATTTTAGCATCTTTTAATGAGTTAAGAATTAATTCTTCACATCTGCAAAAACATTTAGTCATGGTAGTTTGACTTTTTATTCATTTTTATTTGCTGTACTACAGTAAACCTGAGCATGGTTCACTGGCTGCCTTTCTCAAATTAACTCCTGCTTAATCCTCATTAATGAAAATGATAACAGAACAGCTGATGGGAGGCTCTGGATTAGAGATTGATTAGACAAGCTCTGATGCTGACTGTGGATTTTCTCGCCATATGGAATGATACGTACATATCAGAGAGGCTCTGATCTGTAGATAGCTGAGCTGTCTTTCACCAAGAAGGTTCAGGGTTTGAGTCCAGTGGTGCATTGATGGGTGAGGGATTCAGCCAACCTTTATCTTTGACCCTTCCCCTTTTGTAGATAGGACTAATTCCATTGTCGACAAATTCACAGCCATTGCCTCAGATCTCCACTGAACATTATTTAAAACACTAGAATCCTGATATTCTCATTGAAAAAAGACAAACATAAATGGTCCAACACTCTCTGCGGGGCCACGCCCCCCACTTTGCGACCTGGCCTTGTTCTTGCTGACATGTCTGTAAATAGAGTAACTAACTTTGAGTCACAACTCTCGACTCATCTGTGAGAAAACTGACTTAATTGTGGCAACAGGTTAATTACAAGGTGGTTCAAACGTAAGGGTCATGGTTTGATCCCTGCTCTTCCTGAGCATGTTTACGTCAGCGGAGAGACTACTTCATTATATAAAATGAGTTAGAAGAGACATTTAATATAACAATTTTAACATAAAGGGAAAAGTGAAGAATGATTTTTAAATAAAAAGAGTTTTTGGTCAGAACGAATCATAAAATGAATTTAAAGTTGGCGTATCAAGCCACCGTAACAACACCAGCACAATTTCACCTCATGAAATGAATACGGCGAACATATTACAATTACGGTGTTTAATTAAGGCCATCAGACAGAAGTCTGTTGTTCACGTGCAGCTCTCAGATGGCTAAGTGGCTTCCTGCTGTTGCTGAAAACAAGGATTTTCAAAATTGTCAAGGGAACAGTGTGAGTCGTTGATATTCAGAATATGTGATTATTGGGCAGAAAATAAACATTTAAGCTCATTCCCGCAGCTGATGTTTGCACCGCTGCAGTGGTTTACACAGGGAAGGATGCTTTTTGTGTATCTTTGGCAAATATGATACAAGAAGTCGAGGTCTTCGGTGTGAAGAGGAGAGTGTTTGTATTCCTCTAATTAACTGAAGGATTCTCATGCTTTACTTATTGTTAGAGAAACCGACACAATACAAGAGTCGGTGCAGACAGTAATTAGGCTTTAGTAAAAAAAAACAAAACAAAAAAATCTGAACATCAGTGTCAGGCTCACACGGTGTGAACAGCTGGTCATTTCTTCTCCTGGTGACGATCTGTGCAGCAGAAATAAAAGTTACTGACCTGGGCCACAGGCCCCTCGTCAGTGCAGAACCTTGTGAAACGGCTCGGAGGAAAACACTGAGGGGGCAATTAAATAACACAGCTGTCAGTGGCTCCGCATTAATGTGGGAATCTACGGGCTCAATCAATTCAACCTTATTTTATTTATTTTTATGTGCTTTGTAGCCACAAGTGGATTCGACCTGTGGAGTTATTAGCAATAACATTAAAACAGTTCCCACAGTCATAATTGGATTTTGGCAAGGCAGTCAGGATGGTGTATTGATAAAAGCAGTGAAAGAAAACACACAGGCTGGTTGTTGATTTTCTGTTTCTAAATAGAAGGTGTAGTTATTCATGAAAATCACTTTCAAAAGGTGTGGATGAAGATAAATCTTATTAAAACTTAATCTGGAGGTTAGACTCTTAGAACTTTCAACATCTCTAAATAACAAAAAGTCCATGTTTTCACACTTTATTTCATGCAAAGAAGTACAAGTATTTAAGATATTAAGAGTGTCAAATTTAACTTTACTTGCTTTTCAGCTCGCTTGACTGAGAAATTCAGGATAAATTCACTCTGAATGACGTAAATAAACTAAAAAACCACAGTTTGATGGTGATGTCAATTTGTTCAGTTAATCAGAGGATCTATAAAGAAATATCTGCACTCCATCGGTAAAACGACGTTCGAAATATCTTAATGCCTCAAATGTGTTAAAATGGCAGAAAACAAACATTTCCTTGTCACTTGTCACAGTACCATCACAAATATTGTGTCTGGATTTGTCTTGGGAGGCACTGTATTTAAATGATTCT